TTACAGATGCAAAGATTAATACCATCTTGCAGACCAATTTATCTCTCAGCCACCCGTTCGCTCTATAAGAATTTGGAATAGGGCAACCTGATATACATTATTCCAGGAGGCTGCTTTTAAGTCAGAAGTGTACTGTCTTAGAAATCAGAATGAAAGGTCTTTGCCCTCCAGCTGTATCCCTGGAAAAGAAAAGCATATTCTATTTTTGTTGCTGTTGAAATACATAACTTTGTAATATTTCTGTATCCTTAGAGACTGAAAATAATGATGGGTAATTGAAAATTATTGTATAGATCTATACCTGCTCAGGTGCCTATCCAAATTTGTGATACACAGAGAACTGCAACCAGCAATTAAGGACAAAATAATAGTAGCAAGGGGGAAAAAAAAGAACTGAATTAGAAAAGTAAAAAGTTTCCTTCTGCAGTGTCTGTAGTTTGTTTTCCAAGTGAGAAAACAGCTGAATTCAAATGGAAATTTCAGTCATCATGAAGTAAACAAGAAATTAAATCAAATTAAATTGTATTAAATTAAATTTGGGTCTCTTAAGTTTCTTTCTCTTCAGTTACTCGAAAATAAAATAATTTGTACTGCTTTTGTCTGAATGTTGGTTGATGTGTATATTGGTCACCAATGTGTTTTATTTGGGGCATAGCTAATATTAGCATTCTATAGAACATGTTTATTCATTCATAATTCTTCAATTGCATGTTTCCCCTTTCTGTGAAATTAGTAATAGAAGTAGAATAACATTGGAGTATTTCCCCCTCTCCTACTTAGGCTCATGATTGAAGCCCAAATCTGGAAGATACCACTATTGGAAAAATATCTCTCAACACAGACCCAGTAACTGATTTATTGATTATGTGCCATTAAGTCATTTTTTACTCCAAGCAACCATGTACATAGTTGATCTGTCCCTAACATGGTAATACCCACATGGAGGCCCTTTGCATCACTATGTGGGAAGAAAACAGACACATTAATTTGAACTTTAATTTCAGTATAAAAAGTAGAAAAGCAAGAATATCTGCCTAACACAACATTGTCAACTATAATGATTTATCTTCCAAGGCAGCTTTTTCTATAGAACATAAAACTTAAAGACTTACTGCTCCTCTCTTCAGACTATTGAGCGTTTTTCTGCTTAGGCTGGTCCATACTTACAAAGTTGCACAACTTCCATTGGATCAAGGACTATACCCAGATATATACAGCTCCTCTGTCCTTCACTCGTTACCTGTAGTAATGGCACCTGTTTGACCTTGTTATCAGTATAAAAGACCCCTGTCCACAACCTCAAAATTCACACTCCGAACTCCACTATGGCCAAGACCAAAGAGCTGTCGAAGGACACCAGAAACAAA